TCTTTCCCATAGCTTCATTGTGTGGCTCATCAACTTTATACCTCTGTAGTTGCCACAACTCTGCACATCACCCAAGGGTTCTTAATAGAAAAGTATTATACAAGTATAAATAAGACAATTTACCATTTGTTAACAAGACATTTCACACTCCCACACAAATATAGTGTATGTAAATGCAGCATTGGTTGGAGTGTAATCACCATGGTCTCCTCCATAAATATAAACATTAATATTCCCCTGTTGCTTGATTTTGGTATTTCTTTGATTAGAACATCCAAAAACAGTGAAAAAGTCAGGTGTTTTCTGCTATTTGAACTGACCACAACAGGCCAGAATGAATGCCTTATGGTGGCCTGTGCTCCTATAATAACAGTTACACCCATGGGTGTGATGCATAAACCTAAGCCCCAGTGTGGCATTTGTGTGTATTTATAGTGATTACACTCCAACCCAGCACTGCATTTACATATGTGTGTGGAAGTGGGATAACACGACTTCAGCTGTGCCACCTCAGTGTAAGTACATACACTGATTCCAGGAAAATACCAAACACACTAATGCACAAAAAATGCACCCAAAGAAAGTAGCATAAAGCTATGCTAGCTGAGGCACAGCTTTGTTTGAAGCTATGCTCGCTTTGCACTGACAGGAAAATAAAGCCCTATGCCTTTGTATCCATATGGTACAAACATGTATTTATATTTGATGCTTCTGTTACGTCACGCTGTCTGTTTAATTATGATTATTTACTGAATCCATGTTTACTGTCTTACTTATGTCACATACTCTGTATTTCTGTCTTTAAAAGCGATTAAAAGAAAAGGTGTTCATACCTCTTTGGCTCTCTGGTGTCTCTCCTTGATGTCTTTGTCTCTGTCCTTGCTCTCGTCTCCAGGGTGACAGGAATAGGACACTGTCCTCCAGTCCCGTGGAGAGTTGGTGATGCTGGTAACCTTTGACTCAGTGGCACTGTTCTCCTCATTGAGTGAGTGAGATGACCTCCTGATGAACATGCTCTTCTTCAGAGCCTTAACTCTGAGACAATCATTGTTACTCCGATCTGAGCAGCAAAAATTCCCTGTCTGGCCATTGTCGGCTTTGACATTGTGGCCAGTGGTGTGGCACTGGAAAACACGAGGTGAGAGGGTGAGGTCGAGATGTGGATGTGGGTGGGAGAGTGGCTTGTCAGGGGTGCTATTTGATCTGGATGCAGAGGCCGTCTCCCCGTGTCTCCCATTAGCCTCGGGATCTTGTATCTTCTCATCCAGCTTGTTGAGTTTGGAGAGCACCTGGGAAATCTCACTGCGAACCCCTGACAGAGACTCCAGCTTCTTTTCAATCTCACCAATCCTCATTACCAGTTTACAAACACTTGATTTGAGCTCATCATCTGTGTTTTCTAGTGAATGGAAGAGATGGTCCAGTTTAGACTTTGCAAGTTTGACCGTGCTGTGTTCAGGAGAGCTCTCACCTTCAGACTTCAGCGTTACCTGAGAGAGAGATCCGTTACTGTTGTAGTAGGATGACTGGACAACTCCCAGAGAGTCACAAACACTCATATCATCCAAAAAACGAAAAATGTCACTTATGTCATCACTAACAATCTCAGAGTCCTCATCAGAATGTTTGAAGCCATATCTTTCTCTGTCACTGTGCTTAGCTGGGTATTGCGTCCCCTTCCTCTGCTCAACCTGCTCTGTTTGAGTCCCAACACTAGAGGAACTTTCCCCTCCCTGAAAGGATGAACTGTTCATATTTTTGTCCCTAATCCTTTTGGTTGACTCTCTTTGGTCTAAACCCACAGGCCCACTTGCAATCCGTGCCACATCCTTGGTTATCTTTGCAAAGCCAGAAGGAGAAGCTGCTACCTTTTCCTTTGGACTCTGAAAATGTTGCTCATTGTCAGTGCTGATGTTAATAGTGCAGCGGTGGTTTTCTTGGAGTGGTTTGCTCTTCAGAAATGACCTCTCAAGCTCTGGAGGCCCATCTTCTGTATTAAGACTGAGGCTCTTCACTGGCCATGCTGGCTGCTTCCCTGCTTTATTATTGTGCTTCCTACTGCTAATACAATCAGAAACTGTGGCTGGACCAAAGTATGTAGATGCCTGTAAGTCATCCAGGCTCTCATGTTTTACCCTCTGTCTGTCCTGAAGAGGAGAATTAAGTGTTGGCTCAAAATAAGGATTAGTGTAAGGCAGTTCAAAGCTGTGGTTGAAGAAGGTAGCAGGCTTGCGCATCTCCCTTCTGTGGTAGCCATCAGCCACCTTACTGTCCTGTTTGCACTGAGTGGTGATGACCTACAACGAGAACCCAGACAGGTGAATAAGTTGGATTTAAAGCATGCTATCACAGCAAACAGAAGTGAAAGAATGTACCAATGCCAAGTTCAGACTACATGATGTAATCCCAAATAATAGCTTGACCCAACGGTCGTAGGGTGTTGGAATGGTCAAACAGCATCAGACCTGATTGATCAATCAATCAAGAATGTATGACTCCATAATCGTGTAATCTGACATAGTGACTATCGTATAAGACAAACAAATGTTGTAGTCTCGCCAGGCATAAGAGTAACTACAGAACTATAATAATATTAATTTACAAAATACAAAACTACTTATAAAACTATGGAGCCCTGTTGGGGTTGCATGGTAGAAACACAATGCAAATGGATTACAAAACTGAGCACTGTATAGCACCATACCATCAACTCTGGTAAACAAATAATAAATGCTCAATTGACAATTAAAACTAATCAGTGACTGTTCTGCTCATCAAGTGTTCAGTCATATACAAAGCAGAAATATCAAATACTTGTTGGTTCCAGTTTTGCTAAAAACTAGCTTTACAAATGGATTTCTCACCTAATATTTTTGAAAGGCTTCTGACTGTTGGTCAGACAGCATAACTTAAAAATATGTTCATACGGTAGTCCTGAGGTGCAAAACACAAGAACAGTCCACAAAACATAACATAATGACAAAATGCAAAATACAACTAGAGAAATGCATTTCCTGTCAAAAATGCGTGTGGATGCTGATATGCTGAAAGATCATCCTGAAATTGCCTGAAATCAGTTGCTGAAACGGCTGAAGAATGAGATGAAATGGCTGAAGTTCTTTGTTGAAATAGTTGAGAAGAAATGGCTGAAGTTCTTTGTTGAATAATTTGAACACAAGATTGCAGATTATGGAAAAGGTAGGAACAATACAGCTTACACAGAAATTTTTATCATGACATCAGTCAAAGTGAGTAACACAATGCATTATGAGGTAGAGTTGGGTGATACTGTAAAATTTGGTATCGATCCGATACCAAATAAATACAGGGCCAATATCGCCGATACCGATTTTTTTTTTTTAAGCACACAATATAAATTACATTCACTTTCTTGTATAGGGGATATCAGTGTGTCAAAATTTATGAAGTGATTGCATAATTATTATGCTAAATCTGAATGCATTTTCATAACCACTAAAAGATGTTGTGATTTGCTCTTAGTGTGCCTGTAATTAGTCATGTGTCAGGTAAAAAAAACCAGGACATATTTCAAATATGAAAACAATATATTATTATAATAAACTCAATTTGCAAACATGAACTGTGCATGAAATTATCGAGAATAGTAACATTAAAAACAGAATAATGCTATAAATTAAAATACATTAAACAATAATATAGTAACAAAAAAATTTCTCCCTTTAACAGTACTTAACTGGCTTTAACAAAACATAAAGTGCACAAAATTATTACTAGAAAACAAAGCAGCTGTTTTGTTTACTGTTTTGTTAAGACTCACTAATATAACAGATTAAATAATTTCCCTTTTCGCACACTGTCTTCGCTATTAGCTTTTTACCCACAAAGCCCTATGACAGTTTTCACAGAGAACCCCTTTCGATGCTCTGTCATCCTGTTGAAAACTACTGAGTTACAGGTTTTTGTTCAGAAACAATAACATGTTTACATGTTTCCCTTTTATTGCACTTCTTCTCTGGCTTATTAACTGTCCGGCCTTTGAGAAAATCCTTTCTGCAGGTACAGATGAAGCAATGACTCCCAGGTGTTTCTTGGCAAGCGTACTAAGAGAGGGAAATGTTGGCTCATTAATTTTCCACCAAAGTAGTGGATCTTGGTCACGTGGAATTGGCTTCTCTTCTGAGTAACGGCGCATTTCAATTATGGCATCAGTGCCAGTCGTACGATGCTGCTGGGATGCAAGGACTTGAGAGTCAAACTCTGCCCATATCCCACATTTTAGTGCAGGAGGGGAAGCAGCTGCCCCTGCAGGGGAGCATGAGGTAGTTGCAGTAGCCATTGCTAAGGTAGAGCTGGTGGCCAGGCTTGACCTTAAATCAGCAGCTGACACTGAAGAGGTTGAGCTCTGTCTCAATAGCTGAATTTCTGTGATGAGTCGCCCTTTCAGAGATTCAACATTTGCCATGTCACGGAACCCCAGGTTTTTAAATCTTGCATCCAGGTAGGTACTGACAGCAAGACCATAAAAGGTTTCAATACCTCTGAAACGACGTTGGCATTGTGCTGACAGCTCAGCAGCTATCTTGCTACCTTGGCACTCATAAGATGCTGTTGATCTCAGAAGTAGTGACACCAGGGGAATCACTTTCGAAACTGAAACATGTTTTTCATTTGATATCTCTCTTGTGACTTCCTCAAATGGTTTCAGAGCTTCAATGGAAACAGTGATCGTGGACCAGTCTTCCTCACTTAAGCACAGGGATGTCTTTCCAAGAAGACAGAGGACTGTAGTAACAGCTTCCTTCTGCTCTAACAGTCTCTCAAACATATAGAACACAGAGTTCCACCTTGTTTCAACTGACTGTATCAGTTTGTGTTCTGGAAACTTAAGTTGGTTCTGAACTTCTTTGAGCTTCTCTGCTGCTCTTGTGCTGTGGTGAAAGAAAGCTACAATAGCACTGCATCTCTGCTGGATGTGAAGAAGATCAGGGAGAGCCTTAATGGAGTCTTTTACTACTAAATTTAGGGTATGTGCAAAACATGGATAATGTGCCCACCCTGCTTTGCGCACAGCCGCAACAATGTTCGCTCAATCATCTGTGATTACAGCCTGAACTTTATCTGTTATGCCCCATTCATCAGTGACTCTGTTCAATTCTGAGCAAATGTTTTCAGCGCTGTGTTGTCCTGGAAAACTACAGGTTTCTAGAACATAGGCTTGCATTTGCCAGTTCTCATCAATAATGTGGCATGAGACAGTTAAGTAAGCCTCTGTGGCTCTTGATGTCCACATGTCTGTTGTGAGTACAACACTATTTGCACCATCTAGACATTTTTTCACCCTTGAGTGGCACTCTTCATACAGTGCTGGTATTTTCCCTTTCATCAAATTTTTCCTACTTGGAATTCTGTAGTGTGGATCCAGTGTCTTGACAAAATTCCTAAAACCCTCATCTTCAACGACAGAGAGAGGTTGCAGGTCCTTTGCGATCATTTCAGCAAGGCTCCTTGTAATATTTATAGCTCTTGGGGAATCACCTAGGTGAAATAACAAAATAATAAATTTTAGTCTGTATAGCCTATCCACGTGTAGCTTAAAAAAGGAAT